ATAAACAGTTGTTTTAGTTGTTAAGCCCGAGTATATTGGATTCCTTCAGCGGACTGTGTTTGGCTTAAGCCTAATACACCCTCAACACAGCGCCCGACTGCACTTTCCCATGTTAATCCTATGTCATAGACTTAAGCTGTAATCCCATGTTAAATCCCATAGGGTGGGGGGGTCGGGGGAGGGGGGCATAACGATCCTATAAACCACATTATTCATATCTGAATTGTGGTTAAAAATAAATTACAATAAACCTTGTACATTGCGTAAGTAAAATGTACTTATAATTTACTAATTAATTAACCAATATAGTTAATTGTATAAGATATACCTTCATTTAATATATGAAAATATTATTGAATTTAGTGTCCATATAATGATATTACTACACCGATGGAATCCTCAAAAGTGTCTTAGTTTTACCTAACATTTTACAATTTTATAACGTAATTTTTATCATAATAAACCATAATTATTAAACTTATAGCTCAAGTAATTAAAATTACTATTAAATCATACTGTACAGTCATAGACGACATATTTAAAAAACAAATAATTATACATATGTGGCTAGTATCATATTGCAAACAGACAGCGCCATATATTTAATAAATTATAATAAAAGGCGACGTTAATTAGATATGTCGGTAAACAGTTGGCCACGTGCACTACTGGCCATGATGGTGGTGGCGATCATAATGGATCAGCCCGGGTGGGCCGAAGAGAAACGAAAGGGTAAAGTGGATCTAAACGACGAGAACGACTATAAGAAGCTCCCAAAGTACATGACTATATATATACACCGCGTGAATACCGTAGCAAATGACACGGCAATTAAAGCGTGTAGAAAGTGTAAAATTGGAGTGGATATAGTATGTTTTGTCCTTCCTAATGGTTCCAAGCAACCTAGTGCTAACTGTTATGACGAGGATAAAAAAGTACACATCAAACCTCTTAAAAAGAAAGCCAAAAGTTACACCATTTTTCCAATATTCCAATATCCTTGAATTGATATTTGACATAATTGTACATTGTGTTTAATATTTAAATTTTAATTTATGTTATGTACCATGTACTTGAATAAAATAATTATTATAAATGCAATTATTTGTCTACTTTTATTTATTTTATGATGGTTATAACTTTTTAAATACTTGTGAAAATTACATAGTCTTTTAAAAATAATTCTACATTTGTAATTATTAAATATAATTAAATTTTGTATTGAGCTAAATCTATTTATAAATTAAATGTTAGTCCGCAGTGCTATCATCGGGAGTTGTCTGTAGTGCTGACGTGTCTGTAGTTTGAGCGCCGGTACGTCTGTCCACCACTACATGCGGTTCGTGTGGTTGTCGTCGCTGTGCGTCCGCTGAGAATATGTTGTGACAAATACTGTACCAAAACAGTCGACTTTTTATTTACATTGTCTTTGGTTTCGTCGCCTCTCGTCGTGTCCTCTCGCGACTCGTGCCGACGCGTCTGACTCCTAGTGTTGGCCACCAGACGACTGGCCATTCATTCTGTGGTTTTGTTACATAATCTATGATTTCTTCGGAGGACTGGAGGATGTGATCCCTGTATTGTTTGATCACTCAATTGTATGATAACTGTGTCTTCAGGGAAGAGGAGCTGAAAACGAGAGTCGGCGGCACATCTGTGTAGAGGTGTGGCGGCCGTCGGGCGCTGTATTAGTGGCCGAGATGTTGATCACCTGTTGCTTCTTGTGGTCAATTTGTTGTCAAATTGGACAATAAAACTGTTGACATGTTTACCAATAATTAACCAAATATGTGAACTCGTTCTGAAAGTACGGACACGAGTGGTGTTAAGCTGTAGAGCCTTTGAATGCAAACATTTGGCACTTTTGGCAACAATTGATGTCTGTTTGGCTTCTCTTTGCTATTGCTTTCATTTCACTGATTGTCAGTACTTTTGTGCAGACATTGTGTCAATTATCTCAGAATTCTTATATGGAGTCCGCTTTTTGGCAACCGTTTAAATAGATAGCTATTTATAATTGATTTGTTGGCCATAATCAGTAGCACGCAAGCTTCCAAAAAAAGCTTTCAAAAAAGTTTTTAACTAATCATAATTTTTGGTGCATTAGTATAACTATCCAAACATTGATCACAAATGCCATTACATTTGTTTATTAATATTGTCATCAAATGAGTGACACCGAGTGAGTGATTGAAATAATAATTGAGAGAGTGATTGAGAATATCAAAATTAATATTAAACAACATTTTTACACAATATTTTAATTAAAACAACTAAATTCACTAAATAAAAACAATATACCTCTCTCACTATTTGCTTACATCATATTTGAATGCATAAAGATGATTAAAAATGGTGCATAAAGTATGTTACCCTCCAATACCCTCGTTTACCCAGTTATACCCGCCCAGCGTGCCTATGAAATATACCTCTCTCACTATTTGCTTACATCATATTTGAATGCAAAAAGATGATTAAAAATGGTGCATAAAGTATGTTACCCTCCAATACCCTCGTTTACCCAGTTATACCCGCCCAGCGTGCCTATGGCCATAATCATCATCATGGTTATTTAGGTGAACAGTATTAGGGCACCTAAAATAAATAATTTTGTAAGAATATTTATAATTACTATTAAATTTCTTGAGTTCTGTTACCGGCGGTGACACCACTCTCTTGAGCTCCAGTACTTCCCGCACAACCTCTTTGTTTGGTTTCGCAGAATTGTTGGTCAACGGGACGGACGACAGATCAGACACCGGGTCCACGCGCTCAGCATCGCTGGTCAACACGTGGGCCAACACAGGCGCTGGTAATTGTGCCGTAAGTAACACTATTTTATTTAAAGTTTTGTCCGCATCGCTAACACCGGGAGTTGTCTGTAGTGCTGACGGGTCTGTAGTTTGAGCGCCGGTACGTCTGTCCACCACTACATGCGGTTTGTGTGCGATTCGTGTCGCTGTCCGGAGCGGGCGTTTCATTGCCTGTTTCAGTGGACACCGATTGATACCATTGTCGGCACAATTGCATTGATTTTGCGAACAATTAATTTAGTTTCTGTATTAAAGTGTGTTTGAAGTGTAGGAAAAGTGTGTTCAATACAACACTCATTATGTGTTTTAACTTATAATAACAAAGAATGACAAAAAATAACAATTATTTATTTAAAGTGGATAATAACGGTGAATAAATAAAGTAAGCTGGCGGAAAAGTAATATTGTTTACTAAATAACTAAATAATTTAGGAATTATAGTAGCCTTTATCTCACATTAGTTTAATAAACAATACTTCAAACTATGGAAAAGTTTACAAAAAACATTATTATGTAAACACTCTAATAGTTCGGATGCTTTGGCCGTTGTTTCGGTTGTAGTTATAGTCGTTGTTTTATTTGATTGTGTTTTTAGTGTTGTTTTTGTGCTGATATTTCCGGTGTTGACGTGCGGTCTTCGGCCGCACAATGGAATGGGTGTTGAGTTGAGCGGCGGTGGCGTTGACTCGACTCATGGGCTGTCAGTGGAAACCTGTTTGTGTTGTTTCGGGCAAATGTTTGTCGATATGTTTGCGGAAATATTTGCCAAATAACGTTATGTGACAAATGCGGTCAAAATCGGACATCGATGCTCTCACAGTGCCTACGAGTCCGTTGTGTCGGATTTTTTAAACACCATTTAATTGAAAATAATTATTCATTGCAGACATACCTGGCATACGTGGCACGCATTACAATATTCCTAGACGTAAGTAAAATTAATTTTACTGTTTAACATATATTTAGTAAATTGCAATTTATGATTATATTAATGATTAATTGGTGTTTAATTTATTATAAAATAATTTACATGATTAATGTTTAAATAAAACAAAAATAACACATGATGCTATGGCTTAGTTTGGTGCTAGTTTTTAATATATATGTTTACTATTTGTATATCTTTAAAATTGTTGTAACCTTATTTATACATAGACGCGGTTAAGACCGCAATTTTAATGTTAATAGGTAAAAGATCACCAAAATTGTTAGTATTTGTATTTGTTAGTATTGATACTATAAGCTCACAACCAAGAAATTTTAATTAGGTTTAAATTGTAGTCATCACAAAATTAAATTATTTTTTATAAACATTTTAAACTTGCGATACGTTATAGATTAGAATTTAAGGTCTTTTCTAAAAGTTTCAATAATAATATATTACAATTTAACAGACAGATGAATTAGTTTTATTTATCTTTTTAAAATTCTATTTTTATTTAATATATATTACGCAATACAATATTCCTACAAAAATAAAATACATTATTTACACTATATTTAAAACAATTACTTACACTTATTCGCAGCATATTTGTTATGCAGTCAGATTGTATTGTTTAAGGAGCAAAAAGTCTAACGTGAAACCACTGCGATGAAAGTTGTCAGAGGTAATATCATTCGACTGGGATCATTTTAAGGTTCATTTTAATATTTATACATAGGTTTACTCATAGCACAAAATATGCATTGATTCATTAAAAATGTTAAAATTATATGAAAATATAAATTTGAACCTTTAAATGATCCCATGTGATTCATATCACATATTACCATGGTCATTTTGGTAATGGCCATTGCAATTGAAATGTTCAAGCGTAAAGTGAGAGAAGAGGGCAATATGATTATTATTTGGGGCCAGCCACCATCCCTTTCAAAGAATCAAAGGACATCTGCCAAACAAACGGAAACCCAGAAAACACCATACCTTGTATAAAGCCAAGAGTATGTACTCAGACAAATGCTAATCCTATATCATTTGATTGCGTGGACAAAGAACTGAAACATTCAAAGAACACATAATTTAGTTTACATACAAAATAAATGTTTGTTAATAAATAAATGAAATGAATATTTTTATTTTCAAAATTTAAACTCATATTTATTTCGCTTATTAATCTACTAATTGGTTCAAATGTTTATATATTGTATTTTTGGTGGACTAACAAATCAATATTGTCTCTTAAAATGTACTTTGTCGGTGAAAAGTATATATTATATTCTAATTCATGTTTTATTGCTAGCATTTATCTTTTCAAAGTAACTAGCCACCAGCCATTAAGTCTGTTACCCATTTCATCATTCTATTCCCCTCTATGTGTTTTCTCTATGCATTCACCCCATCCGCTCTATAGTTGTCACTACCCTCCCACCCCCTATTGTATGCTAATACCTATTGTAACGCTGTTTTCTAATTTGATTTCTATATTAAATGTATAACTGATTTAGTTTAGGTAAACTTGCAACTGATGTAAAGTTGCAATACTTATAAAAAACACATGAGTGTTGTTTTTGCTTTGGTTTCTTAACCTCTTGTCGCACACCCGATTGTAGGCTATGTCAATGCTGTGACATAAGGGGGAAGATTGACCGCACGTGTCAGAGGGGCGAACCCTTGGAGTGCGGGTCAGTTGTGCGGCTGCAACACATGGTCACGAGTAAGAACCTCCACAGCCATCACTTCTCGTCGCCGCTGTCCGGCAATCAAGAGGTGAGCGCTTTTGGCGACAAGAATGGCGAGGGAGACACCGGCGACAACTGGACGCTCGTCTGCGGCGGCGACTACTGGGAGAGGGACACAGACTTTCGGCTCAAACACGTGGACACCGAGATGTGAGACACTAATAGTGATTGAAAGTGTATTTTTAAACTCATTTCTCTCTTTAAACGATTGATTGGCGACCGACAGGTGGCTATCGATGTCGGGACACACTTACGGGCGTCCGATTCACGGCCAGATGGAGATCGTGGGCTCTTCACATCCGGACTCCGCCAGCTATTGGCGCACCAAAGAAGGCGTTTACGTGAAGCCGTCGGACGAAACGAAACTAAACTCGAAGAGCGATGTCGATCACGACGAGCTCTAAACCGCATAAACATTTAGTTATTTAAATTAATTTCCATTTTTAGTATTTAATTTATAAATTTTTTTATATACATCTTCTCGCAAGTGATTTGAGTTATTATTACAATAAAAAGTATATATGAACTGTTTTGAGATGAGATTAACGATATACTGTATTTGATGATTACATTAATGGTTTATTGATATAAACACCTGTTAAAATATGCAGGTTACTAAACCCTCGGGAATAGACTGCCGGTCAAGACCACCGCGAAACTGACTATTGACAACCGTAAAGCCTCTAAGGTATTGACTCAGGCATTACCGCAAGAGTCTTCGGCGTCGAAACGCCTTCAGTCGGTGTCATTGGTAGAGGAGTTGACGGCGTGTCGGGTGTGATGTGCTCTTCGGCTTTAGGTTTGACGGGTTTCTCGATCGCCGGGTATAACGGCTCTAACGATACGATTGGTGCCATCTGTTTGGGAACCGGAAGTTCGGCTGGTTTTGGTAGCGGAACGGGTTTGACAGTCGCAGTACTGGTTGTTGGGGTCAGGAGTTCGGGTGCTTTGGTTTCGGACGCCGTTTGCGAGGCCAAGAGTTGGGCCGCTTTTTTGGTCTCTGCTTTAGTTCTCTTCTTCGGTCGACTCTTCTCTTTGTCTTTATCTTTGTCTCGATTTGCGGGACGTTTTCGATTGGGTTTAGGAATAGCTGTCACTCCAAACGAAATACTTTTGTTTGCAGTGCTCTTCGATGGCGACACACGGGAAGCGTTTGCCGGAAACGATGATGAGCTGGGATTCAAGACATTGCCGACAAACTCGTAGATCTCATCGGCGATACACCGGTCGACCATCGCTTGAGTGATTCCTTCAAATTTCTTTTTACTGCTCGACACAAACAGGCGATCGTTTGCGCCGCCGATCACTACTAAACCCGTTTCCGTTTTGGTAATACGTTCCCGAAAGTCCTCCATATCGTCGAGTGTAGCCATTGTTGAGTTCTGGCCGATCACGAACAGAGTGGCCACTGTTGTCTCCAACAACGGGTCGTCCAAATCCTATATACAAATTCAAAGCAATAATTAAACAACACTTCAATTATATTGTCTGCCGAAGACATACGCCTCTGAATCCGTTGATAGCCGTGAGTGGAAATCCCAAACATATGGTTGCGTTAACATTGGCCGCGTTGTCGAGCGCGCAGTGCGCGGCCACCAGTGATGAGTGTCCAAAGCCCACCAGAACCAGAGGTCGGCCCTCATTGAAAGTGGTTTTGCATTCTTTGATTTTGTCGCGAACTGAATATCGGATTTCGCTCAAGAAGTCCAGCACTGACTCGTATGGTCTCGAGATTGTGCTAATTGTGATGACTTTGCCTAACGAGCCGAAGAGGTTGTGCCAGTGTTTCATACGCTGGGATGTCATCTGATGTGGTATTTGGGGTCCGTTCGGCACAATCAGAAACAGCGGACTTCCGTTTATACGTTTCTGTCACACAATTAACACAATTATAGATAATTAAATCCCAAAACTATGCGAAACACAAAATTACCGGTTTATAACTGTTAAGCATTGTCTGTATCGCATCACAAGACTGTTTGAATCGATTCGCTGTTTCGTATTTTGACGGCACATAAAACTTGTCGATTAGAGTTGGGATCTAATCAATAAGAACACAAAAAACATATTAAATTAAAACTTATTTAACAAACAATTGAATGCAAACAAAAACCTTTGCTCTGAGTATTTGCAACGACTCGTGATATGCGGTCAGAAATACGGGACCGACGTATTCATTGAGAGTGGTGTTAAGCCATGAGATTTGGCTGATATCCCAACCCGTGGCGGCGAACAGATGCCGAAATTTAGTGGTCGTCCTCTCCTGAAGATTCTTCTTCAGTATCACTTCGTTTGGGAGGGAATCGTATGACAGACGCGACAAACGGTCGGAATGCAGTATTTTAGTCGCTTTTGACCACAATTTGCACATCTGTGGCGTCCATCCAGTCTTCGTCGGTGTTGTCAACTCATTGCTGTTGAGATCGGCGGCTGTAATCATCTGCACACTCTTGACGGCCGTGTAGTCGGTGGGAGCGGTTCCGGGAAAGGGAAGCGGGCGCTGATTGGCCGCCGGCAGTGACACCACATCGATGTGTTGGCCGAAGTCATAGTGATATCTGCGGCCAAAGTGTTTGGGAAAGTTCTTCATGAAGAGGAATTTGGCGGCTTTGGCCCTAATCTGGGCGTCCGGATGACGGTTCCAGGGCTTGGCGTAGTTGTGGTCCACATCTATCACATTGAAACGCTTCTCCTGACCGCTGATGGCGTGAAGATATGTCTGAATGGTTTGGGAGTTGAGATAATTGTGCGAAACGTCGGCGAATGCGTCCAAATCGGTGGACTTCATCTGCGGTCAGCTCTTGTCTCGCCAAACACGTGATTCAATGGACACAACGATTACGACAAACGCAACACAAAACACATGTATTTTAATCACACAATCAATGGATTGAATGGTATTGTTGTTGTAATTCATTCATACATTGCATTCATTGCATGCATTCATTCAGTCAGTCATTTGCGCCCATTCTCTGCAATACCACTACTTTTACATCGCTTTCAACGCAAACACTACTCATAGATGGCATCCATTTTCATATACTGTATGAATGCATTGTAATAGTATTGCAAATATTCTGTACGAATCAAACAATATTCTCTATTCAACACAGAAGTAGTCCATCGGATATACGGTATTATTGGGTGTTCACTATAAAGTGCAGTACATTATATATGGGCAATGAATAGGCATGAAATATCAATTTGAAAATCAGTAGGAAATGGTATCAAAAAACTTATATAACTATAAGGAACTGATATATAAATATTTATGTTAATAATTGAGAGTTTAGTAGAGAATATGCAGTAAAGTATAGCTAGAGTTGTGTATAGCGAACATATAGTAGAGTTTTAGTGGGGAATCGTATTGTGGGGCGAAAAACAGAGTTAAAGTCGACAATTGGCTCTCCATATCGCTATAGAGACTGTCCTTACGTTTCATATATTCTTATGCCAGCGATTGATTGCCATACGATTGGCTCCGAAAAAGTCTCTACAACTAAATCAAACTCCGGACTGAATGTCTGAATGATATGAAGCGAAACTTTTTTTAGTCACACCATTCCTACAGGTTTTTCCAATCCTATCATATCTTTCTATTGCCGATAGTCTTTATCATCGATTTTTCTGCCGTTAAAACACATGTTTTCACAACCGATTCGTTTCAAAGCATTCATTAAAGAAATTTTCATTTTTCATTTCATGCAATCGTTTGATTAGTATTTTTTTGAAAGACGAAAACGATAAATGTCTGAATTTCCGGCCATCGGTTGTGTGCCGGGTATCGATAACCTCAACATTTCCGACGTCTACTCCGATTACAACTTTAACGGTATTTAAATCACTTTTTACGCTATTTTTAAAATTAATTTAATTGAATTTCTTGTAAGAGTGAATATTTTTACCCAAATTAACTATAAATTGCCAAAACGTGTCGTTAAATTAAGTATCGATGGAAACGCTTTAAATAAATTTCAATGAAATTCTAATGAAAACTCTTTAATGAATGATTTTCGGTGTATTTTTACGCTTTTTATTTTATTTGTAAAAATTTTAATCTCGAGACTTCCTGCAGATATTGACACAAACAGATTGATATTATTTACTGTATTTGGGAAATGAGAGCACAAAGTGAAAGAAAGAGTGGAGAACCCATTCCCTATACTATTAGACCTCTAATATGAGAGATAACTTTGTGTCTCCGCATCTCTGCCTCCGTCTCCCAATTTACTGTATATTTTTTTTATTGACTCACTTTATTTGTTTTTCCCATCTTTTTATAACAGTATTTATAAATTGTTTATTTATTATACCTTTACGTTCGCATTATAGAGTACATCGTTTTATAGTGTAGTTTACGAGGGAAGGGAGTGAACGGGAATTGAGGGTTCGTTTATAAAAACCCATATTTAATACTCATAAATGTCTTCCATAATTGAATAATTTATTTATTTAAAAAAAGTTGCGCTAATCTGTAAATAAAGTTGTGATAAATTAATATTTTAATTGATAGTGAATTATATATCGATAGAAATATTAATGTTTAATATTTTAACGAAAAATCTCATTATTGAAACCTAAATTATTTTTATACTTGATTCCCAAATAGAGCTATAATTTTATGCAACTTATTATAATTGGTACTATTTTTAGAAACAATACGATTGCTAATAAAATTATATACTATTGATAGTATCGACGATTGAGTTAATATTGATAATTGGATGTATATTATAAATATTGACATAATTATTAGCATATTGGCTATTGATTTCATGACAATATAATGACATAACGTGGCTCTTAGCTCAACATATAATGATAAATTATAATTATAGTTAATAATTCTATTCTGGGTGTAAATCTATACCTAAATGGGCAACGGGTCTGTAAAAATAATTTAATTCTAGTCTATATACTATTACTACAGTATTTAGTATTACCTCCAGGAATATGTAACTGTTATACTCAAACGTGTTGACAGTTTTATTACATTATCTCGTAATTTTTAGTACAAAAAACTAACAAAAAAGCTTTTTATTAGAAAATTATTGACTTAATAGAGAAGATAGTGAACAGTATTTTGCTTTCTATATTCCTGTCAACTCTTTTTAAACAAGTCATACATTTTGTAAGCAATAATATTTCATACGAATGGCCGGAAACACTCTTATGGGCAACTTTTTGAACACCACTTTTAGGTACTCTATAGTTCAGTCACGACAACCACTTAACCCGCCATTAAGTTAATGACAAAAATTGTTACAATTTCCTAAACCAGACAATAATTTGTATTATTTTGAATGTAGTGTCAATTCAAGTCAATACTGTGGCAATCGATGTAATGTATAAACAAAGTCATCAATAATTTTGTTACACAAAAAACACTATAATTGTGAGTCTATTATTTGAAGAACTGACCAAAAAATATACTCAACATTATGTGTATTGTGTCGATATATTTATTTTTATATCGCAATACACTATTCGCTTAATACATGTATATATCCTTCGAGTCCGGCATTCAATTCACAAGAATAGGGAGAATCACAAGAAATTCTTGGCCTTAATTTAATATACAATTTCTTATATCATTACGAATACATGTTTAACGATTTTACATCCATTGTAATTGATTCCCTGTCTTTGTGACACTTTTATTACATTTATTGCAATCATATATAGTTGTAATTCTCAATACTTATTGTTTTCTTCAATTGCTAACATTTGTATTGTTATCCATTCAGTCCAAGACATGAGACAAATTCATATTCAATTTATTTTTATAAATAGATTTTTTGTCGTAATTAGCGAAATATTTTTTTAGTAAATTTATTTCAAATCCGATTTTCAATTGGGTGTTGGATTAGTGAGAGAGTGAGTGAGAGAGTGAGTGAGAGAGAGAGAGGTGAGCAAAAACGGCTATCAGTGGAAATTACGATTGGTTATAAAATAACATAATTTAAGGTTTAGAGTGAAATATATTTTGGGCTCAAAATATTCAAACATTTGAATAATAATGATTGCAAAACACACTGTTATTCCCAACAGATAATTGTCATTAATCAAGATTAGAGCTGATGTGATATATATTTCTAATATTATGGCAAATAATTTTTATTTTTAAGAATAGAAATTAATGCTAATTAAGTAGTGATGGATTGCTTTATAAACGCTTAACCAATATTTTTTTGGTGAACACATCTCTAATATTATATCAGAGATAAGATATTCAATTAAAAAAACTTTAATAAGCCCTTCATTAACGTTATGCTAAGCTAGTGGTGTTCAAGGACAGAACGCGTTCTATTTTCATTAATTAATTTATTTTCATACAGTTTACTGGATAAATTGTATATTGTATATGCCCGACACACTGTATAAAAATTAAAAGATTACTAAAAATTGAACGCCGCTAGGGGGTGGCCATCCCAATGCTAAGCGCTACTCTTTTTGCACATATTTATCAAAATTAAATCCTGAATTGATTAGCACTCAGTCACGAAATTGTCAGCTTTTACTCAATACACTCGAGACACACACAGAAGTGATGTATAAAATTTAAATTAATTTTTTCCTATCTCTCAATATTTGTTATTCTTTCAATACAGTAGTCGTGAATTAAAATAAATAATAAATAAATTGAATTTCATTAATAACTGTTGTTGTGCTGCGAAACTCTCTGTATTTTCAGCTTTTAATGAATTAAATTAAACAAATTTTGATCCAAAACTTAACATGAGTTCTGAATTAATTGAATTATAGCGACAAAACGTTTGAGTGCTTTTTCGTTTGCGAGTAAATTATGCGCCAAAACAACAAACAATATTTATTTTCATAAGTTATTTAATTTATATGAGAACTCAGACACCAAACCACTCGTAAAGGATTAGTTATTAAATTGAATTTTTCCATTTAGTTTATATAGGGCTCAGATTTAATACTAATTAAATATAGTCTTTGAACCTAATGTTTGCTTTGCTTTCGCTTTGATTGACAGATATTTGTAGCGCTTTATTGAAAATCAAAGAGATGTCAATTCCCAGACTCGTGAGGAACGGCACCGAAGAGTCAGTGGTGTTGGACTGCGTTTACTCTTTGGATAAAATAGACGATAAGAATTTGGTGGTCAAGTGGTTCTTCAACGACGATCCGGAGCCCATCTATCAGTTCATCGCTGAGTTTGGTCTGAGACACGCGTCCAGTCGACTGAAGGGTCGCATTAATCTGAATTATACCGTCAATAATAACGACCCACTCATCAAATACAGGGCTCTTAATCTATTGCGACCCACCGTTGACTTGAGTGGTAGATATCAATGTCATGTCCAGTCGCTGTATAGTCAGGACTCCAAAGAGGGCTCAATGATTATATATGGTATGCGACGATTGCTTTCAATTAAATGGGAGTATAGTTTTAATTAAGAAATATATTTTGTTGTCNTGAGAAAATAATAATAAAGGGATAATTGGATATCAAAATAACACATAAATTGGTTATAAATAGAAATAATGAGAATTATTAAGTAATTGCAAAGTCATTACATAATAGTTAACGCCATTAAGTAATACGAGAATACATTATTGAAACAATTGTTTGAGATCTACACGTGTTTGTTGTCTATCTAACAAAATCAGTGGAAATTTCACATTAAACTGTTTATTAAATTATATCAAAGGATTACTTATAATTATATCTAAATATAAGTTTAATTAACATTGAATTGACTTTTATCGGTGTAAATAACTATTGAACTCAAGAACTCGTAATTCCCAGAGAATACTTCAATGAGGCTTAAAATGTATAAAACTTGTGATTTATGAATGAATATAACTTATACTGTATATAAAATTTTCATAATTAGAGCACATTATCTGCTTGTCATCCCTTAACTGTTGCCTATATTTCCACAAAAAGTATAACAAGTTATTAAAATATAATTGATAT